TTTAATATGGAGTTGCGCCCTGTCACCCAGGCTGGAGTGCAATGATGTGATCTTGGCTCACTGCAACCTCCACCTCCTGGGTTCAAATGACTCTCCTGTCTCAGCCTTGCCAGTAGCTGGGATTACAGGTGCCCGCCACCAGGCCCTGCTAATTTTTGTATTTTCAGTAGAGAATGGGTTTCACCATGTTGGCCAGGATGGTCTCGAACTCCTGACCTTATTATCCCCTTGCCTCAGCCTCCCAAAGTGCTGGGAATATAGGCATGAGCCACCGCACCCTGCCTCTAAGTTTTATTAGAATGAAAATGTTTCATACCCATTTGCCCTGTGAAAGGTAATTTTCTCCATAATATAATACTTAATCAAATGCAAATATGTTAAGCCTTATAGAATTACATTTAATGTGTTGGTAGGGTAGAATCAGAGAGAAGTATTGCTGAAAGTACCTGTTCAGAGATTGTGTGAAAAAAATTGCGACATTTCACATTGTCTTTCACAGAGACAATGTGAAAAAAAAAATAAAGGCTCCGTGAATGTTCTCTCTGAATTACTTCCTTCCTATGGAAATCACATCAGTTCATTTTCAGATAAAAACCAAAACAAAGAATAGAAATGACATACACAAAGCCAAATTTAATACTTATCATTCCTTTTCCAACTCTGTGCTGAGTAATGACAATCTGTTCTCATGCATATGTCCAAGTATCTCAAAATAAATAAAGGATCCCATTCTAATCCTGCTTAAAGGCCAGCAGGATTAAAGAGGAAAACAAGGTAATAAAGAACACAAAGAGGCTTCCAAGCATGAATGGCAATTGCTTGTAATGGATCACTGTACCTGGAACACACTGAATCAAGTTGGCGACCATTGCACTAAAATGTGCCCGGATATCTTTAAGAATTTCAACTTCTTTGTCATTTTCAGCTTCTAGAAGCATGCGGGTCAAGTCCACATATTCTAAGAACAAAGCTCCCAGGGCTAAAGTATCCCGCTCTAAGGCTCCATTTGTGCTGGAATAAAGGAAAATTAAACTTTTAGATGATCAGTCTTTATGTCCAAGTAATACAGGCTTCATGAAAACTAAGATTCACTGTTACAACTCACACACTAAAGTTGTTCCTAACCAACACACAGTGTAAAGAAAACACGAAAAAAGAAAAGGCGAGCTTTTTGGATTTTTCTAAGTTAAGGGTATTATATTCAAAAACAAAGAAAAGAAGAAATGAGAGAGACAGAAAGACAAGAAGACCAGTTTGGTGAGAAGAAAGCAACTCGACAGAATTCTGACCCTACCTGTCACTTATTACAGCAGCATCAGCCAGAAGTTCGAAAATTCGAAGTAGCTGTAGCCTTAACAAGTCTCGCCGTTCTCGGCGTTTCTTGTTCTGTGTAGAAAGAGGTAGTACTACTTACAGACACAGGCAAAATAATATTAACTTTGCTTTAGCAAATGGTATTTGGGCGCAGTGGCTCATGCCTGTAATCCCAGCACTTTGGGAGGCCCAGGCAGGAGGATCACAAGGTGAGGAGACTGAGATCATCCTGGCTAACACGGTAAAACCCCATCTCTACTAAAAATACAAAAAATTAGCTGGGCATGGTGGCATGCAACTGTAGTCCCAGCTACTCAGGAGACTGAAGCAGGAGAACTGCATGAACCCTGGAGGCAGAGGTTGCAGTGAGTCGAGATTGTGCCACTGTACTCCAGCCTGGGCCACAGAGCGAGACTCTGTCTCAAAAATAAAGAAATAAAGAAAATGGTATTAACGAAAGACATAATCTAGTCATTTTCAATTTTCTAAGCAGAGAAGTCAGCATATATTCTTCTTTCTTCCTAACCCTCAGAGGAAATGCCTGCTATCTATAGGCTGTAAGAGAAACACACCCTAAGTGAGTCAGTAAATATTAGGTGGAAATTTTGAGAACCAACAAGCCTCATTTCCCAGATGCTCCCAGTGTCTGCTGAAAGGCAGAAGCATCTGAAACCAGCGAAAGACGCAGGGGACATGAAATAATCCCGATTCTGGTAATGGAAGTAACACTGTTTGTTCTTATTCACACTGCTGAATTTGTTATTTTTGCATTTTATTTACTAATTTATTTTTGAAACAGGGTCTCACCATGTCACCCAGGCTGGAGTGCAGTGGTGTGAGCTCAGCTTGCTATAACCTCAAACTCCCAGGCTCAAGGATCCTTCTGCTTCAGCTCCTTGAGTATCTGGGACTACAGGCATGCACTACCATATGTGGCTAGTTTTAAAAAAATTTTTTGTGGACATAAGTCTTGCTATGTGCCAAGCCTGGTCTCAGACTCTTAGCCTCAAGTAATCCTTCCACCTTGGCTTCCCAAAGTGCTGGATTACAGGCATGAGCTGCTGCACCTAACCTAATTTCTGCTATTTCTTGTATCATTGCTACTACATGGGAAGCTTTCTTTTCTAGCCTTATTATTATTTTTATCCTGGTACATTATAAGTTCATCCTTTTCAGAATTCCCTTCAGGGAAGGGGATGCTGGGGAAAATGCCTCATATGCCAAATAAGACAAATTACATTCTTGGCCATCCAACTCCTTGTAAAAAAAACAAGCAAACACACAAAAAAACAAAATTCAATCACAAACCTCATGCAAAAGAATGTAATCATTTGACATCTATGACGATTTTAAGTTGTTTTGCATTTATATATTTAGGATGTAAAATCTATGGACTACATTATACTAAATGCTTAATGAAACCTGAAAAATAATACAAACAAAAAATGTTAAAATATTAAGATTCATTGTTAAAAGCTTGCTGGGTGCTTGTTTTTTTTTAGGGGAAACCAACAGGTTTGATTTAAATTCAGATGATTGGCCAAATAAATCAAGCTTTCATTATTTAAATTCAAAATCTTACCTCTGGTCTTCTTTCCAGAGCTTCTTTCATTAATGGATGAAGTTCTTCTACCAATTCTCTATGGAGAAAAAAGGTCACATTTGAAATTCATTGTTTTGACACCAAACTTGTCACTAAATATTGCATATCAATTACATCCCAAATCACTTGCTTTTTGCACTTTGCTTCTAACATCGCAATCTCCCTGACCTCTCCATTTCCCAATCATGGTAAACTAGAAACAGATATTGGCCTATACTTTGTATTACTGGTCTTACAAAATTGCATATAATTTTGGCTCAATATCTATTTGTTGACTTGATTTTGATTTAATGTTCTGGAGATCTCTATGGCAAAAACAAAAAACAAAAAACAAACAAACAAAAATACCCTATGTGAACAATTAAACAAACAACATTTTCCAAGTGTTTACTAAATTCAAATACTTTACTACAAGCTTTGGAGCTGAAGATAAATAAAACTGAGCCCCAGCACACAAGAAATTTTCAGTCTAATTAGAGGAAAAGAGACGGGTGCAATTACCATGGCACTGCACAGCTCAGGAGGCTGACTTGTAGTTGACTTTAAAAACAAAGCCTTTTTGGGTTTCAGAGCTAAATTCCTTTTTAAAAAAATTTATTTATTTATTTATTTATTTTTGAGATGGAGTCTTGCTCTGTCGCCCAGGCTGGATTGCAGTAGTGCAGTCTCAGCTCACTGCAATCTCCACTTCCCAGATTGAAGCAATTCTCCCGCCTCAGCCTCCCAAGTAGCTGGGATTTCAGGCACCTGTCACCATGCCAGGCTAATTTTTTGTATTTTTAGTAAGAGATGGGGTTTCACCATGCTGGCCAGGCTGGTCTCCATTTTCTGACCTCGTGATCCGCCCGCCTCAGCCTCCCAAAGGGTTGGGATTACAGGTGTGAGCTACTGTGCCCGGCCTAAATTCCTTTGTTTACACTATATAATAAATAAAAAATTCCGTATGGCAAGTACTAAAATTGTGAGGTTCTCATCAAAACCTTGTCTTTTATGTAGTAAAAATATGTCTTGATCACATTAATATATATCTTTGTCCTGATTATCTCCAGTTCTCAACTTTATACTTTCTAATCTAATTAGTTCTCTTCTTCAAGAAGTAACTTCTGAATTGCTAGGTCAAAACACAGAAAAAGATAAGATTTTGCCTGTTGTCAGACTAGTATGTAGGCATTTTGTCTATAGTATGCCCAAGCTTGAAAACCTTGTACTTTCTGGTAGGATATTTTGTGCTTAATCCAAAGACAGGAAGGTAAACTCTATGTTCTGCACTGGGAGACAGAAAGCATGGGTTCTATTCCTGATTTTTCCAATGCAGATATTAGAATTTCTTCATTAAAGATATGGGAATAACATCAATAGTTTCCTTCACTTAACAGCTATCATTCAACAAATATTTATTATGTAAATATTTGCATTTAATATGTTTTCTCAACAAATGTATGAGATGGATTCTATAATTATACTAACATTTTAAAAATTATTTAAACTTCTTGATTTTCATTTATTATGCCAATTTTATAGCTGAGAAAACTGAGGCTCAGAGACATTAAGTTTTCCAGACTCATGAAGCTAGTTGGTTGCATAATCCTACCTGCCTCTAGGAATATTTACAGGTCAATATACATCAAACAATCTTAAGATTCTTTGGGAAAGAATGTTAGGTAAATCCAGGGATTGTTACTGTTATCTTCTTGTATTTCTTTTGCTTTTCTGTTTATTTATTTGAGACAGAATCTCACACTGTCACCCAGGCTGGAGTGTAGTGACACCATCTTGGCTCACTGTAATGTCTGCCTCCGGGGTTCAAGCGATTCTCTTTCTTCAGCCTCCCGAGTAGCTGGGACTATAGGTGCGCACCACCACGCCTGGCTAATTTTTGTATTTTTAGTAAAGATGGGGTTTCACCATGCTGCCCAGGCTGGTTGCAAACTCCTGATCTCGTGATCTGCCAGCCTCTGCCTCCCAAAGTGCTGGGATTATAGGTGTGAGCCAATGCACCTGGCCATCTCCTTGTATTTCTTTTTTTTTCTTTCTGAGACAGAGTTTCGCTCTTGTTACCCAGGCTGGAGTGCAATGGTGCGATCTCGGCTCACCGCAACCTCCACCTCCTGGGTTCAAGCAATTCTCCTGCCTCTGCCTCCCAAGTAGCTGGGACTACAGGCGCATGCCACCATGCCCAGCTAACTTTTGTATTTTTAGTAGAGACGGGGTTTCACCATGTTGACCAGGATGGTCTCGATCTCTTGACCTCGTGATCCACCCACCTTGGCCTCCCAAAGTGCTGGGATTATGGAAGTGAGCCACCGTGACCGGCCTCCTTGTATTTCTATGTGATATTTTGTCTTAACTAATTAACCAATAACTGGTAAATCTCTGGTTAACTGGCACCCATATAGTCAGAACCCACAATTACTTCTTTTAAGAACAAAATCTGGGATGGGCGCAGTGGCTTAGGCCTGTAATCCCAGCACTTTGGGAGGCCAAGTCGGGTGGATCATAAGGTCAAGAGATCGAGACCATTGTGGCCGACTAGGTGAAATCCCATCTCTACTAAAAATACAAAAATTCACTGGGCATTGTGGCGCACACCTGTAGTCCCAGCTATTTGGCAGGCTGAGGCAGGAGAATCACTTGAACTTCGGGGGCAGAGGTTGCAATGAGCCCAGACTGCACCACTGTACTCCAACCTGGTGACAGAGCAAGACTCCATCTCAAAGAGAGAGAGAAAAAAAGAATAAAATCTGACTTTAAACATGAATAACTTAGATCTTTTTCAGTAGCCTCTAAAATATCTTATTAATCTCTATTTTTCAAGTATAGTTTCTCACAGATGCTTGGAAGTTTCTCATTTCTCTCTACATGGGAAATTTTGTTTGAGACTGTTTTTGTCCTTACAGGCTTTTGTTGCCTAGCTGAAGTCATCAGAGGCAACCCAAACTAAAATTTTACAATGTCTCTTTCAAAGGCTTTGACAGTGCTTCAGATGGAATGATTATTTCATTGCAAATGTGAATAAGTAAGGAATCCAGAAAGCAGCCATATGGTTATATTAAGGCGAAGAAAGTGCCCTACAGAAAGATCAACCAGTCTGGGCACACTGGCTCATGCCTGTAATCCTAGCACTTTGGGAGGGCGAGGTGGGCAGATCACTTGAGGTCAGAAGTTCGAGAACAGCCTGGCCAACATGGTGAAACCCCGTCTCTACTAAAAATGTGAACATTAGCCAGACGTGGTGGCACAGGCCTGCAGTCCCCCCTACTTGGGAGGCTAAGACAGGAGAATTGCTTGAACCTGGGAGGCAGAGGTTGCAGTGAGCCAAGATCGCACCACTGCACTCTAGCCTGGGCGACAGAGCAAGACTCTGCCGAAAAGAAGAAAGAAGAAGAAGAAGAAAGAAGAAGAAGAAGAAGGAAGAAGAAGAAAGAAGAAGAAAGAAAAAGAAGAAGAAGAAAGAAGAAGAAAGAAGAAGAAGAAGAAGAAGGAGAAGAAGAAGAAGAAGAAGAAGAAGAAGAAGAAGAAGGAGAAGAAGAAAGAAGAAGAAGGAGAAGGAAGGAGAAGGAAGGAGAAGGAAGGAGAAGGAAGGAGAAGGAAGGAGAAGGAAGGAGAAGGAAGGAGAAGGAAGAAGGAAGAAGAAGGAAGAAGAAGGAAGAAGAAAGAAGAAGAAAGAAGAAGAAAGAAGAAGAAAGAAGAGAGAGAAAGAAAAGAAAGAAAAGAAAAGAAAGAAACATCAACCAACAACGAATGCAACTAAACACACTGGAAGGGGCATTCAATGCTTAACGTTTGAGAGTCTGTTGGGTAAATGGCTGATGAGCAGACTATTATTATTTTGACGTGATAGTCTCTGAACAGTCTGGCTAACTGAGTTTGCTACTGAACTACCTGTATTTATAGTTGTCTAAAACAAAGCTTGCCAGTAAAATAAAATCTGAGAGGTAAAATCAAAGTTGCAATGATTGAAAGTGACAGGTGAGGCAGTTGCAAGGAATGCTTGTTACATGCACATCAACCAAGACAATGTAGTGGGAGCCACACACAGCCTATAAACTCTCCAGGCACACCCCAACATGCAGACTCAAATTTGAGTTAATAAAGGAACTACGATAGCAGAAGCATGTATGAATTTAGAACAACTCATTAAGACTACTGTACCTGAAAACAAGGGAATTTGTTCTTCCAAATCCTAAAACTAAGGACTCTGTGATCTCAATGCTCTCTAGTCTCATCAAAGGCACCAACTGCTTTAACAGAACTCCCACCGATGGGGTGCCTATGGCCTGAAACAAGTTGAATAAAAGTGAAAAAGAGGTAACATGGTAACTGATGGTTCATTTAATCAAAGGATGATTCCATTATAACAGTTTCAAAGTACTGAACCACATCCCAAGGCACTGCCATCATTTCAGGAAACACACACACACACACACACACACACACACACACACACACACACACAAATTTAATATAGCAAAATGAATGCAATTGTCACCTGCAACACAAATCCTAAAGAAATTTTTTTTTTATAATGGTCTTCTTTTTAAAACCATTTAAACCTACAAAGCTGTCATTAATAAGATAATTTATTTAATCAAGGCATGATTTGAAGGTGAATACTCGGTGAAGAGTAAGGCAAATGTGATGTTGTAGGACACAAACCAAACCTCAGGGCACAAATAAGCACAATTCATTCTATAGTCTTAAGCAAGTTTCTCAACTTTTCTTTATCTTTGGTTCCCTACTTGTCAGAGAGGAGTAATAAATTATTCATATAAACACTCAATGGAATTTAGAAATGTGTAGGATGAAAATCTGATCCCATAATACTCCAGATGGCAGGCACAGTGCAATTTGCACTGTGAACTCTAGACAAACAAGCTAAAAAAAAACCTTACAGAATAATTCTTCTGAAGCATGTCATGTCACCTTGTTATCGTAGCTCACTGTACCATCAGGTGTGGTCGCCATTATTTCTGGAGTGGAGGCTCTCAAGTGTCCTGGGCTCATAATACTGGGTTTTGCAACTCCAAAACAAAGAATTAGGTAATTTCTCCACAAAGTAACATAGTTGTCTCCGCTGCCGGCAGTGCTGGTTTTCTTGGCATTAATTGGGCTACTAGAAATATGGAGTCAAAAACAAGAGTGAAGCTAAGTTCTGGATTTTAAATATCACTTATTAAATAAAGATCATAGGAAGTACTCAAATAGAGTTGAACAACTGTTGATTAAGGATGTTATACAGAGTATCTGCATTTGATGAGAAGTCGAACAAAGAACTTGAAAGTATCTTTTACCATTAAAAGTCTGAAATTATGATTAGAAAATCATACTGATTATTGATTAGACAATCATATTGATTATTAAGGCAAAAAACCCACTAGCTTTAGACAAAAATTTTTAAATGTTTTTACTTAATGTTAAGAATTCACAAGTTGGAAGTTCAGAAATTGGGATGATAACATCCCAATCTCTTGTACAAAATGAAACTGTAAGAGGGCAAATGGAAAAACAAAAAAGAGGAAAACACAAGGCTCCCTTACTTTGGGTCCACCAGAGGCATCACCGACTGGAGCCGAGTGAAGGCATAAGGCCAGGCATAGCTGAGGGCTGTGGGGCAGTGCTTGGGCAAGTTCTCCTGCCGGAGGAAGCTGAAGAGGCAGAGCACCCAGGGGTCTTTGACAGACTGTGCGAATATCCAGACATGGGAAGGGCTCTTCACATCGTAATGGCTATTGACCAGGACTGCGTTCCATTCCACCAACCACTGCAGATCCACATTGTGGGTCAGTGGTAATGTTGCCTATAGGTGTAAGACATAGGTTGTGAGTTAAAATGGAACTGAAGTTATCCATCCTCAACAGGGCTCAGCCTGAATACTCCTTCTTGCACAGTGCTTTTCCTGAGTGCACTGGGCTGGCTGTAAATCTGAAATACCAATCCTGCACCTACCACACATGACTGTGGCATGTGGTCATCAGTCTTCCTATGCTAGATGATAAGCAGCATAAGTACAAAATTTAAGAACATGAGTCATATTCTGACAGGTTTACTGTCACAGAGCTATGCATCAGTACACAGAAGCTGTTCACGAATTACTTGTTGGATGAATATATGACAGTAAATTTAAACTGAACCATGGATTCACCATTTAAAAATTCTGAGAAGTTATTCATCTCTGAGACTCACAAATGTGTTTTTATCATTGTAATTAGTACATTTTTGAAGCTATGATCTTCTCTATCTTTCCTTACACTGAAATATCTTCCCTTTGATTTAGAGAGATGGCTAAGCATAATCCCTTTTATGAAGGGCATTCTACTGACAGTTTTTGAGATAAGATACCTACATATTCTTATATATTTATTCACTTATTGAGACAGAGTCTTGCTCTGTTACACAGACTGGAGTGCAGTGGGGTAATCCTGGCTCACTGCAACCTCTGCCTCCAGGTTCAAGTGATTCTCATGCCTCAGCCTCCCCAGTAGCTGGGACTACAGGCATATAACCACAATGCCTGGCTAATTTTTGTATTATTATTTAGAAAGAAACAGGGTTTCACCATGTTGGCTAGGCTGGTCTTGAACTCCTGACCTCACATGATCTGCCCACTTTGGCCTCCCAAAGTGCTAGGATTATGTGTGAACCACCACACCTGGCCAAGATACTTGTACATTCTTGCCCTATGATAGCAAGCAAAATCTCTTTTAAGATAAATATCTACATTAATAAGTTCTTATATTCCATTTCATTCTCTTTTAAATCTAGATACCAAAGTTTAGGGGTCATTAATTTTCAAATAATCTAGCTGTTGTGCCTAGAAAGGACATGGCTTTATGTTTGTTAGACATGTAAAATGATCCATTTTGTCTGTTGTTTATGAGTTCCCCTGGGTAAGAGTATTATAACAGTGGCCTCAATGGTCAACAGTCTGTAAGGAGCAGAGCTGGAGTTGCAGAGCCTGAGGGATAAGATGGCAACACAAGCTCTGGCCAAAGCCTGTGACCTGGGACAGGTACTGAACATCCCTGAGTCTCTGTTTATTGAATTTATGACCTGGGAATTATAATCCTGATCTCACCTAATCTTTCAGTGTATTACATGAGATAACAGCTGTAAAAACACCGGGCACAAAGCAGGCACTGCTTCTCCCACTGCTCTCTCCCCATTTCTGTACATCTTCCTAAGTGCAGTATTATTGAGCTAGTTACCCAGCTAAGATTCTGATGTTGGTAAACACAGAACAGAAGCACATGAACAAAATATAAAGTGTTATCTGTAGGCAAGTAGGATATATACATAAAACAAGGCTGAATATTCCATTCCATGTCAAAACAATTTGAAATTCTAAAAGAAGTAGGACTATTTCACTACTATTGTTAAGGTCTGCAGTACTTGACTTATAGCTTTAACAATATTATTATGACCATAAGCAAGAACAGGGCTACTATAAACAGGAATCTGTGTTCAATCAAGTTAGAAAAGGCCACAAAAAGCTCCCAATGTCTTCAGGTTTTGTATACATTTATAATTATCTGACAAATATCTGCGCATCAGGCGTCAGCAACATCAGTAACGTGGATTCTGCAAGGAATCTGAGATCTGCCGGCCTCCCTTCAGCTATTTAGCCCAAATTAATCCAGGTCCTGTTATTATACTTTCCTTTTTTAAAAGTCAGATAACCAAAATCAGTTTAAATTTCCCTTCTACACTTGTTCAGTAAATTAAAATTTGCAGAGGTGTTTTTAAAAAGGAAGAATGTATTTGTGTAGCAGATAAAGCTCTCCTAGGTTCAGAGTTCAAACCTGGGAAGGAGAGTTCTAGAGCCCAGACTTGACCTTGATCTCTAGAACTCTCCTTCTGTGCGACTGTGGACTTACCCCTTAACATTTTTGAGTTTCAGTAACTATGAGAATCAAATAAAATAATAAATGCGAAGGCACCATGAGAACTACAAAGTACCACAAAAACAGAAGTTACATATTAAGTATAATACTAAGTGTTAAGTATAATATTAAGTGATAAGTACAATAAATAAGGCAAATTAATTTTCCTTAAGAATCCTAAGCAATTCCTCTTAAAGCTGTAGTTTTAAAATATTATCTATATTCCTAAGCCTCAGATTTTGTGTGAAATTTATCTGAATGTCTCTTAAGCTAACATTTGAAAAACTAGTCTTATCTTCATAAGTACTTTTGGGTCAGTTTATTAATGTGACATAAACACCCAAATTATTCCACATGATTTTTCATTGACTTTCTATTTTAGATAGGTCCAGAGCTTTTAAGAACCATTAGTTGGAATCAAATGTGTACTTACTGAATCCGAAACTGCTACATGAATGAAACTTTCTAGAATGGAAGAACTTAGCTGATCCATGACATCAATCATCGGCCTGTCGTCATCCTGTACAAAGGGGAGGTGATTACTCTCCATGGGAAAATGAATCCTCCTCACCCACCCCACTGACTTTGTCTGATACATGAAGCAGAATAGCTTGTGAGATAGCGATAAGGATTTTCACACAGAAGAGTGAGTGTCTAGATGGTGGAAGGCAGTGAGTAAAACTCCTGTAGTTCTGAGGTTCGTCTTCCAAGTTTTAGTGGAAGATAATTAGAGCTCCAATTTCACATCGTACTGAAAAGACATATACCTGAATTTCAGACTCATACATGTACATGTATGATCTACCAGTATCATACACAATTCACTACAGTGTTCATGTTGTTAATTTCAAGAAGCAGAAACCCTGCAAGAACATGCTTTGTCAGACCACTAACTAAAATGCTCCTTAGTTTAAGTCATTTGTCTGTTAAAATAAGTGGCCAATTGTTTACTGTGATTGAATTTTAGTCTCAAAGAAACTAGACCGACCACACACTCTTTGTAGTATCTACATAATATATAGCTATGTGATATAAGATGCAAATTGGAAAGGGCACGAGAGAGTATCTTAGTGAAAATTCTACATGAGTAATACATAAATGAATGCATTCATTCATTTATATATCATAAATATATAAATTAATTCATCCATTCATTTATATATTATGAACATAATATATGTAATGAATACATAAATGAATATTCATTTAAATATTATATATTCATTCACCATCCTTTATTATGGAGAAATTTGTAAATATAAAATTATTTACTCAAAAGCCTTACAGAAAAGACTTGGAATCTCTACATTCATGTGTGAATGACAAAAACATTATGGCTGGTTAAAGAAAGTGACATATGAGGAACACCCTTGACACAGTGTAGTTGATTAGCACTTAAGAAGTAGGGCATTAGAGGCATGTGTATGTATCTGTTGTTGAATTCTGGCTCTGTCACATTCTAGCTGTTGATTGTAGGGAGGGCATTTAACCTCTCTAAACCTCAGTCTCAGTGTCTGTACAATGGGATAATAAACAAACCAATCCTTAGGTTATTTGAGGGTTAAATGAGATACTGTGTATAAAGTACTGAGCACAGTGCCTGACACATACATGGTAATTATTATTATCATTACTTTCATGATTACAAACTTGATGAAGGTTTGCTAAAATATAGCATGTCTTAGAGATTCATTTACCAGGTGCCAGAGATGTGGCCTTGAAATATATCAGAAAGCTATCCAAAGAAATGTGAACAGGAAAGACTGTGATGAAGTTGAAAATATTTTATAAAGACAGTGACTATGTCAAATATTATAAAACCAAATTAGTTATTTTTAAAAGAAGAAAATGGAAAGTGGTAATTTTCTAAAGAAGTATATAACATGAAAAGCTGGTCCTTCTTTCATCAAATTGTGCCTTTGGTTTGGCTATCCACACTAGCTTGCAAGATAGCAATAAACGTTTTCTCTGACCAAGGTGTACAGCATTTGGCCAAATATGGGGTGTCAGCAGGCAGTGATCAATAATTGGCTTCCTTCTCCCATTTCAAGAGGACATGTTTCTTGTGATGTCATTTTCTACCATTATTAATATTAAATATCTTTCAATTTGCCAGACTCTTTGGTAACTTTATCATTTTAAATGAGATGTTATTTTTTGAGGTTTATTCTCTAATATAAAGTAATAATATCTTTTTAATTAGATGTGTGCGAACACTATGAGGGAAATAATCCATAACCTAAATTAATCTTAAAATTCTTCACTTCTTAGCAAAGTAATGTCTCTGGAGAACTGGGATTGGTCTTTTCTATTGCTTTCAGAAAATATGACTTAAATCTAGTAGACCAAGAATGCTATTATAATAGTTTAAAACCTAACAATGAATGAAAAATGTGATACCACATGTAACATAAAAGTACATGAAATAGTAATGCATCATTTGTAGTTTTTAATATAAATTTCAGAACAGTTTAAAGTAAGAAATGGAAAAATTCAGAAGAGTAATCCATACCTCAGGCTGTCCCAAGGCAACAAATAGCGCTCGAATTTCCTTGAGTATTAAAACGGACAGTTTGCGAGTGGCCACCTGGAAACTGCAGAGTAAAACTAGAGCAAAACCTTCTACAGCGTGGAGTACACTGCAGTGGGGACCGCGTTCCGACTGAATTCTGTGACTGGAGCCATTTGCAATGAGCTGTGATGCAATAAGAACAACATTCTGTATTCAGCAAAATAACAATGGAAGAAGAATACACTCATGTTTTGTGTATCTTCTGCACATTCGATTCTATAAATATTAAAATAAATGACAATGGTTTATAATCAAACATGTCTATGAATTTATTATTATTCATGAACTATCCTAGATCCCCTTCTGTCTTTCAGATCAATTGTTGCTATGGAATACTATCAAGCATCTGTTACTTTTGATGGCAAATAACTCTTCAAAGGCTAAAAACAAAACTCCTTTCATCGACACCGCTTGGTATCACACTGTATATACAATCAAAGTGGCCAAAGTTGTTATTTAAATTCTCCATAGACTTTTGGATACTATTAAATCAAATTTTCAAACATTTACTTTCTATCCATCCTGGCTTACTTACTTGCATGTTAGAGTCTAATCTAGTTTTTGCACAGGTCTGTGATGGATTCTGAAAGTTCCCAATCCCCAACCAAGTGAATCTAAAGTAAAAGCAAGCCAGTCAACACGGAGGTTTCCACCTTCATTTTTGTTTTCCTCTTATAAGCATATATAATCCTTGGTTTTCTACCTATCATGTACTGGCACGTCTAGAACACAGGGAAGGTGGAAGGAGCTGAATGTCATCTCTGGGGTTAACCTGTCAGGGATCCCAGCTGTTCCCCAGATGCTACTATACTTCCCTGAGCCTCCACAGTCCTTAGACTCTCAGTTATACTCTTCTCCAGCCAGACCCCTTTCTCCATCTGCTCACTGCCAATGCCAAGTTCCCACTGCCTGGCTCTCCTCTGACAACACTCCTCCTCAATGTACTCTGCAAGATGTTATCATTAAGTTAAACATTTAGGCAGGAGACATGAAGGGTACAGAAACCACAAGACTGCACTGTCTTCTCTGTGGATATTGAACAAAGCAACCCATATGATGCTGGCCAAAACCAACTGGGAGTCACCTGACTTTTATATACCTACCTCTACAACCATATCCACATCTACATCCACAACCCTATCCACATCCGTATCACATCAACATTTACATCCACATCCACATCTACATCCACACCCACACCTACATCTATATCCATATCCATATCCACATCCACATCCACAACCCTATCCACATCCACATCACATCCACATCTACATCCACACCTACATCTACATCCATATCCACATTCACAACCCTATCCACATCCATATCACATCCACATGTACAACCACATCCATATCTACATCCACACCTACATCTACATCCATATCCACATCCACATCTACAACCCTATCCATATCCATATCACATCCACATGTACATCCATATCCGCATCCCTATCTACATCCACACCCACACCTACAACCACATCACATCCCACATCCATATTACATCCCACATCCATATCACATCCACATGTACATTCATATCCACATCCATATCTACAACCACATCCTATCTACATTCACACCCACACCTACATCCACATCCATATCCACAGCCACATCTTTTCCTTATCTACATCCACATCACTATCCACATCCACATCTATATCCACATCCTTATCTACATCCACATCCCTCTCCACATCCATATCACATCCACATGTACATGTACATGCATATCCACATCTACATCCATACCCACACCTACATCCACATTCACATCAACATCCATATCTACATCCAATCCCTATCCACATCCATATCACATCAACATGTTTATCCACATCCATATCCATATCTACATCCACACCCACACCTACATCCACATCCATACTCATATCCACATCCTTATCTATACCCACATCCTTATCACATCCACATGTACATCTACATCCACATCCATAACTACAACCACATCCATATCCACATCCACATCCTTATCTATACCCACATCTATATCATATCCACATGTACATCCACACCCATATCCATATCCACATCCATATCCTATCTACATCTACATCCTTATCTATACCCACATCCATATCACATCCATATGTATATCCACAACCATATCCATATCTACATCCACACCCACACCTACAACCACATCCATATCCACATCCTTACCTACATCCACATCCATACCACATCCACATGTACATCCACACCCATATCTATATCCATACCCACACCTACATCCACATCCATATCCACATCCTTACTTACATCCACATCCTTATCTATATCCACACCTACATCCACATCCTTATCTATATCCACACCTACATCCATATCCTTTTCTACATCCACATCCATATCACATCCACATCCACATCCATACTCATATCTACACCCACACCCACACCTACACCTACATCCACATCCATATCCACATCCTTACCTATATCCACATACTTATCTATATCCACACCTACATCCATATCCTTCTCTACATCCACATCCATATCACAACCACATGTACATCCACATCCATATCTATATCCACACCCACACCTACATCTACACCCATATCTATATCCACATCCATATTCACATCAATATCCACATCCCTATTCACATCCATATCACATCCACACTCACTCCCACATTCACATCTATGTCCACATCAATATCCATATCCACATCTATAGTCACACTTACATCCACATCCATATCCTTATCTATATCCATATCTATATCATATCCACATGCACATCCACATCTACATGGACACCCACACCTACATCCACATCCATATCCACATCCTTATCTATATCCACATCCTTATCACATCCACATCCACATATACATCTACATCAACATCAACATCCATATCTACATCCACATCCATATCTACATCCACATCCACACCTACATCCACATCCACACCTTCAAATCCACATCCACACCTGCATCTCCATCTACACCTACATCCACATCTACATGTACAGCCATATCCACATCCATATCCACATCCACCTTCAGTTCTAAGTCCCTGGCCTGTAGTCATACACTCTTATAAATAGATTTGCAATCATACTTCTCTGAAAAAACCAATTTCTACTCCCTAAATGGCCTTGTGAATGGTAACAAGTCTAACCTGATGTGGAATATCATGCTCTGAGTTTCTTGGTCACAATTTATGCCAGTGGAAGAACTAAGGTCCACCACCAGGGAGGAAGTTCCCATGTGGCTGGAAGTAAGAACTCTAAAGGATCTGGACTGCCACTCATTTACAGTGCCTAAAAGAATATAAATTTGGCCAGGCATGGTGGCTCATGCCTATAATCCCACTACTCTGGGAAGCCATGGTGGGAGGATCACTTGAGGTTGGGAGTTCAAGATCAGCCTGACTAAGATGGTGAAACCCCGTCTCTGCTAAAACTACTAAAATTAGCCAGGTGTGATTCCGTGCACCTGTAATCCCAGCTACTTGGGAGGCTGAGACACAAGAATCACTTGGACCCAGGAAACAGAGGTTGCAGTGAGCCGAGATTACACCAATGCACTCCAGCCTGGGTGACAGAGTGAGACGGTGTCAATAAGAAAAAACAAAACAAAGAAAAAAGAAAAATAAATTCATGGATAAGGTGTGAAAATCACCTCTGAATTTCTGATTTTGTTGGCTTGTTCATAGACTTTTCCTTGTGTCTGTATGACCAGTTTCCACTGGGTAAGCAGCTGCAGCAGCAACTTCAGGGACGAATCAAGGAGTGTGTGATGCATATCATTTACTTCCCGGAGCAGGAAGTTGGTAAAGCCAAATAGTACATCTTCTCTCCAGTCTGAGAAGTCAACAAGTAAACCCTGAAGAGAATTTTGTGCAATATGTCGCAATTCATCATCCATATGAATAGAGAGCCTGTGAAATGAATAAAAGACAATACAATCATTTACTTTATTAACTGGTCTTCTAGAGCTAAGAATGAACATCTATTAATACATATCTCTTCTATTTGAGTCTGAAAATGGGTCTCCCTTATTTTTGGCTTAGTAAATGACTTACATAAATACTTTTTAAAAACTTATAATTTGGCTTCGTGCGGTGGCTCACACCTGAAATCCCAGCACTATGGGAGGCTGAGGCGGGCAGGTTGCCTGAGTTCAGGTGTAAGAGACCAGCCTGGCTAACATGGTAAAACCTGTCTCTACTAAAAATACAAAAATTAGCCTGGCATGGTGGCACATGCCTGTAGTCCCAGGTACTTGGGAAGCTGAGAACTGCCTGAGCCCTGGAAGTAGAGGTTGAAGTGAGCTGAGATTGTGCTACTTCACTCCAGCCTGGACAACAGAGTGAAACTCTGTCTCAGAAAACAAAACAAACAAAAAAATCTTCTAATTTTAGAATTACTGAAGCATTGCAAATATAATACAGAGTTTTCCCATATAACCTTCATCTGGCCTCCCCTAATGTTAACATCTTATAGAACCTTGGTACATTTATCAAAACTAAGAACTTAATATTGGTACGAATCTATTAACTGCTTTACTTATATTTCGCCAGTTTTCTACTGATGTCCTTTTTCTGTTTCAGAATGCAATCCAATATACCACATTGCACTTAGCTGTACTGTATATGAACACTTTTTAATACATCACTGGCTACAGAATAAATTAGTATCAAATCCTATTTTTAAGGATGAGGAAGCTGAGTACTGGAGAAGATAAAGGGCTCATTCAGAAGCTGACTATAAATGAGCAATCCGAGTCAGGCCAGTGGTCCTAAAGCAGTTTTGCTCCTTGGAATATCTGGCAATGTCTGGAGACATTTCTGGCTGCACACCTTGGGGCATGGTGCAGGCAACCTTCTAATGCGTAGAAGCTAGGGATGCTGCTAAACACCCGACCATGCACAAGACAGTTTCTTATGACAAAGACTTTTCTGGCCCAAAATGTCGATAGTGCCAAGGTGCAGAAATTTTGAGTGAGTTAACTGAATTCCAGTGTATCTGTGGTTTAATCTAGAGCAACACAATAATATTAAATCTTGACATTGGTAGGGTGGATTATTGCTAACCTATTGCTTTATATATTCATTGATTTATTTAATAAGCAAAGGCTTTTAAGAGAGACCTGCCTACGATTCAGTCATCATATGCCCTGTGTATAGCACTTAGGATATGGAGTTCATTGTGGCTGTGTCTATTGGGTGAGAAGCCTGCAAGAGCCAGGTGTGAGTCAATGCTAGAAAGGAAGCACAGACAGGTCACTGAGGGGTCTTTGGGCCACCCAGGGAGACAACACAGCAGGGAAGGGGTTCAGAGTGTGTGCTCTGGAATCAGAATGCCCGGATTAGTGTCTTGCCTCTGCCGCTTATTAGCTATGTGACTTCAGGCTAGTCGCTTACTCTCTAAGCCTCAGACTAGTAAAATGGGGATACTAACTGTAACTGCATTGCATAAACCTGTTGTGAGGGTCACTGAATGATCCATGTGCAATGTTTAGCACTGCAAGGAGCACAGAGTAAGCACTCAGTAAATGTTAGCTATTATTAGAAGATGAATTTTATCTTGAAAGTTATAGGGAAAAAAACATGATTAGATTCGCTCTTGAGAAAAGAGAGTCAGGCAGAAATAGAGAGAATGCCTTGGAGAAGAAACAAGCACAGACCACCTAAGAGGTCACTGCAATGACTTAAGCAACAAGTGGTGAGGGCCTAACCCAAAGCAGAGAAGTATGGTAGGGAAAGGGCAGATGGAGGCAACAGATATTTAGAAGATAGAGTTCCCAGGACGCAGCAGCCTGGAGGTGTTTGGTGTTAAGAGAAGAAAGTGGCTGAGTCAATGGGGGCCCCCATACCCAGGTCAGATATTATCCCCAACAAATAGAAGATAACATTGTGGCCCAGAGTAGCTAAGGAAGTTGCTCAAAGTTAACAAAAGGAAGAGCCAGGAATTCAATCTAGGACTTCTAATCTTTAATCCCAAATACTTTCCATAAAACAAGCCTGGCACAAATCACCCCAGTTATCACTGTCAAATAGATAACACTTCAAAAGCTTGATAAGATAAGCAAACTCTTGTCTTATTTTCTAAAGCATAAAGTACACCAATTGGTTCAGTTTGACAATATAAACCAAGTAAATAGCTCTTTCGTTCACAGATTTACACTGAGCCAGGGAATACATTTCCTGTCTCAAAAGCATGTAAAGTTCTACGCAGATACTGAGAAGGAAGATCTAAGCTAATTTTTCAGGAATGTCTTATACCATTAAAACTATAGTTCTTAAGTAGTTGCTGAAAGAAGAATGAGAAGGCTTTAACCTGGGCTTCCAATCTAGAATTGCCTAAAACAGGAGTTTTCAAAGTTTCTTCATATTTAATTCAGCAGCAGATCCATCTTTTTTTCCAACAAAAGTTTATGGAGAGCTCTGTGGTGGTAAATTTTATGTGTCAACTTGGCTGGGCCTCAGTGCCCAGATATTTGGCTGACATTGTTCTAGATGTTTTTGGGTGAGATTAACATTCAAATCAGTGGACTCTGAGGAAAGCAGTTTTCCCTCCCTCATGTGTGTGGCCTTATTTGACCAGTTGCAAGCCTGACTAGAACAAAAGATTGGACTTCCCTGAGCAAAAGAGAAATTCTACAACCTTTAGACTTCATCTGCAACACTGGTTCTTCCTGGTTCTAGAACAGACTGCGTTCAGATTCAAACTGGAAACTTGGCCCTTCTGAATCTCCAGCCTGCCAGATTTCAGACAAGAACTGCAGCACTGGCTGTCCTGTGTCTCCAGCTTGCTGGCCCCCCGTGAAGATTTTGGAACTGCCAGTCTCCACACCGCATGAGCCAATTCCTTACAATAAATCTCTTTCTCTCTATACCTCTTATTGCTTCTGTTTCTCTCTGGAAAACTCTAATACAAACTTCAATTTATACATATATACATATATATATATATATATATATAATATTGTATGGATATACAAGATGTATATATATAAGATGTATAGATGTATTGATATATAAGATGTATATATATACACAGGTATATACACACACATAAAACCTGAGCCACTCTGGTTAAAGCTGGAGGCAGAAGTCCTGAAGTCCATCTATTTGGGGAGAAAACGCTCCTTTACTCGCCAAGAAGCTGTGAGTCATCTCTGCAATCCGTGGTTTGAAAACACTAGTTTATGAAAAGCACTTGAAGTCATTTCCCCATCTTATGTTTATTATTCTAATTTACTACATTTATACCTGTCTGTGGTCTTGAATGTCTTAGAAAATAAGCTTCTACAGATAACAAGCCACCATTTTTAGGACAGGTGATAGTTTAATAACCAGGAACTGCAGACACTAAATAAATGTTAACTGATGGTAATGACAGTGGTCACAATTTTGTGTCCCCCACAAAATTCATACATTGAAGTTCTAACTCCCAGTTCCTTAGAATGTGACCATTTGGAAATGAGGTCACTGCAGATGTAATTAGCTAACTTAGGATGAGGTTGTGGGCCCCTAATCCAATATGACTGGTGTCCTCATAAGAAAGAAGGGCACTTTACTAGACAGACAAACACATGTGGATAATGCCATATGAAGATAAAGGCAGACATCAGGGTGATGCTTCTACAAGCCAAGGGAGCCAAAGAGTGTCAGCAAACTACCAAAAGCCAGGTGAGAGGCTTGGAGCAGATTCCCTCTCATAGTCTTGAGCAGAACACAACCCTGTTGACACCTTGATCTTGGACGTCTAGCCTCCAGAACTGTGAGAGAATAAATTTCTGGTGTTTAGGTGGCCACCCATTTTGTGGCACTTTGTTACGGCAGCCCTAGAAAACCAGTATCATCATGAAATCAGGCAAGCACCAAGGACGAAAGCCATGTCATGCTCTATTTTCATGAAGCCTTTAGTAAGGGTCAATACTTTCAGCTTTCCAAATGAGATTGATTCTACTCTTCATCTACCTTTGCTCTCATGCACAATTTGCAATCTAGAATCTGTTTTAACTTCAAACCCACAATGCAGGATCATCTTCAGGACTCTTGGAGCCCCAGGGCAGTGTAGTCCTTGTTATTCTTGGTGGCCATGACTCTTAACATTACGGTGTTTACATGCTCTACCAGTGAAAGGCTCAAAAATATTCATGGAGGATGAAGACCAGGGAGGGGAAAGGGTTTCTGGTATAGAAGGCTTAGCTGATTATAAAAGTGGAATGTTTGTAGAAGAAAAAGGCTCATACTGCCACAGAACTGAGACTGAGGGGAAATCACCTATCAAGATGAATCTGTGGGTAGCAGTTGAGGGGGAAGGGGAAGAATCTGTGAAAAGGGCAAGGCTCCCTCCCTGTGTCTGTTGCTCGAACCGTATAAGCAGAGAGCTGCCTGTCAGATATAGTTGCCATCTCTTCCACTCAGTTCTTCCTCGGTTTTACTTTTATTAGATTTTGACCAGACAATCAAGATCTTGTGAAACACATGGGATTTACATTAGAAAGCAGAAAAAAAAAAAAAGCTATCTAAAAGGGAAAAAGAAGCCTTGAAGTGAAATGAGAAAGATGTCTAGCTATTTCGAGTACTCAGGAAAGCAGCATGGAGCTGGCCCACAGATTTACAAATCCTATTAGATCTCCTTCTCTAGCAAGGATGAGGGTGAGGCGACAGCAGTTCCCCCAGCTGGGCCATCTTCATAGAGAACGTAGACCAGGAAAGACAGAACAGGTCTCAACTGCAAACTAAACAGGTGCAATTATAATTTTAAAAACTGTCCTTTGAGAGAGTTTGGTGGCAGCAATTAAGAGAGAACAGAGAGACTTTAGGAGAAAGCAACTTATGAAGAAGTCTGGACTACGGCTAAATTTCTGAGAGGCTGATCTGGTTTTCAGTAGCCTAAAATAAAAGAAACCAGTATTGCCAATACC